ATGGATGCTGTACTTTCCAGATAGTTGTCCTATGCCTTCAAAGACGTGCCCTATAAAAACGTGATCTAAGCGGTGGCTGTCTTCAACTCCCTGGTACAGGCCCCAGGTCAGACGACTTCATCACTCGGCTCCTTTGCCAGGCGCAGAGATGCGACTTTGGAGACAAATGTGACTGGCTTGTTGGCGGCCGGATAGTCGTCTGTATCCGTGACGCAAGAGAGCACTTGTTCCGGCAGTGAGACCTCACCTTGGACAAAATCATTTCTGCGTGCAAGGCAGCAGAGATTTCGGAGAAGCACATGAAAGATTTCACGATAAAGGAACCACAATTAAAGGTGAACACCGTATTCAAGCATGGTCAGAAGCCACCACGACAATCTGGACGTCTTCGAGGTTGGAGGGCTTGGCTTGCTCAATAAACGACCGAAGACACCTCACCGCAAGTGTTCTCGTTGTGGAAAGACGCGCCCTCCTCGACAGTGCCCAGCTTAGGACCAAATCTCCTACAGCTGTGGCAAATTTGGCCACTTTGCGAACCTTTATAAACCGCAGCGACCCATCACAGCACACACATCGCAAGTTGGCTTGTTGGAGGATTCGCACAAAGAATTTTTGCAGCGGAGCTGTTAAGGGCTAGGTTCCCCAGGATCGTGTCTGGTACCAAAAAAATGTTGACACAAAGCAACAGTGGCAACCAGACAACCGGTTTGCTGTCCTCGCTCATGAATGGCAGCAACCTTTCCAGCTTTTCCACTCCGATTTTCACCAGAGTCGGAAGGCTGAATTTCTCTAGGCGATGTCCTAGATATCATCCTCGAGGTTGCCCTAGAAGTCGTCCTCGAGGTCGTCCTAGACGTCGTGCTTGAGGTTGTCCGAGAGGTTTTCCTCGAGGTCATCTTAGAAGTCATCCTTGAGGTCGTCCTAGAGGTCGTCCTCTAGGCATCCTTCAGGTCGTCGTAGACATTGTCTTTGAGGTTGTCCTAAATGTCGTTCTTGAGGTCGTCCTCAAAATCGTCCTAGAAGTCGTCCTTGAGATCGACCTAGAGGTCGTCCTTGAGGTCGTCATCTAGCAGAGGTCGGCATTTTAGGTCGCCCTCACTCACCCTCACAGCTACACTCACCTTCAGCCCCTCACTCACCCTCACCCTCACAGTCACACTCACCTTCAGCCCTTCACTCACCCTCACTGAACATCACGGCCCTCACGCATTCACCGCCCTCACGGCCCTCACGCCCCTCACCGCCCTCACCGCCCTCACCGCCCTCACGGCCCTCACGCCACTCACCGCCTTCACGCCACTCACCGCCCTCACGCGCCACACCGCCCTTGCAGCCCTCACACCCCTCACTCCCCCCAAGCACTGATGGCCCTCACCGCCACTCAGGCCAGCTTCAGATGGGGCAAATTCGCCCAGAAACTTTACGTCGCAACACCAGCAACACGGGCCGCCCGCAATCACACGCAGCAACCAATTGCTGCAATTTGCCATCGTCATCATAAAATTTTATTTTTCTTGCACTATTTAGACACAATTACGCGTTATAAACGTGTTTTTATGCATTTAAATCTCGTTAACAATACTAATGCACCTTTCTGAAACAGTTTATTTCCAAAGAAACGATTGATTTCAAACCAGAACCAAGTCTTTCGGTGTCATCATCACCGGCACGAGGTATCACGTGAAAATTTTGCGTCCCTGATTGGATGCAGCCGCATCAAACGCATTCGAATTGCTCCGAGTTGCTTGCTTATTTCGAGCCGGACCCGATCTCAGCAATTCGTGTCGATCTAGGGAAAACTAGAGAACAACCCGCCATTAACACCAAAATTGCTGAGAAAGATGCTCGATCTGAAGGGGGCCTCACGCACTCACCGCACTCACGCACTCATGGCCCTCACACACCTCATGCGCTCACCGCCCTCACGGCCCTCACGCCTTTCATGCCACTCACTGCCCTCACGCACTCTTGGCCCTCACACCCCTCACACACTCACCGCCCTCACACCACTCACGCACTCATGGCCCTCACGCCACTCACCTCCCTCACGCCCCTCACGCACTCATGGCCCTCATACGCCTTGCCGCCCTCACCGCCCTCACGGCCCTCATGGCCCTCACAGCCCTCACAACCCTCACAGCCCTCACGGCCCTCATGGCCCTCACCGCCCTCACCGCCCCCACGGCCCTCACGGCCCCCACGGCCCTCACGGCCCTCACGGCCCTCACAGCCCTCACGGCCCTCACGGCCCTCACTCACCCTCACACTCATGAATTTTCCTGGTTCAGAAACTCACTCACCCTCACCTCACGTGTGAAGATGAGGGTGAGTGAGGGCCCTCATGAGTGAGGTTTGCCGAGGTATGTCCTCTAGGCGTCGTCCTTGAAGTCGTTTAAGAAGTGGTTTAAGAAGTCGTCCTTGAGGTCGTCCCACCATAGTACAGCTTCGCTGGTCTTCTTCACCAAAGTGGAAAGGCTGAAAGGTTTTCCTCTGCAGCTTAGATGTCTACAGTGTTGGCACAGACTCTACAGAATGGGATTACCTAAGCAGTCTGTGTGAACGGCCATGAACTCACCTTCAAGCTAGACAATGCCTCTGATGTAAACGTCGTCCCACTTCTGACACCATATTATGATTGTGGTTGAGTTGATGTCGCAGATACACAAGACATGTTTGTTGAGCGGGGAAATTTGAATGGTGCTTCTCTGCAGGCTTGACCTTTATTTCAATATGTCAAAGCTGATAGAGGGCACTAGTCATTACCTAAGACAAAAGTGGTTCTCTGGGCTAAACCGTGTAACCCTGTCGCTGGCACGCACATACTACGGGGGCACTTCTTTAGCTATCATCATCATTGTTTGTGACGTCAGGGGTGGCCCAGAGTGGGACAGACCACACAGATCTTGGATCCCTCGGCTCGTCAGTTCGCTTCATGCGCTTTTTGGGTAACGCGCGGCAAAGCCTGTTTCACGTGCTGTGTATGTTTGGGGAAGCTATATTTGTAGTAGGACATTTTAGCAAAGCTTGAAACTGTGGCACGCATAGTCGTGCTAACAAACACTTTTGGCGCTGAAGTATCGAAGCGCTTGGATGGTGGTTTTCTGTTCTCTACCCCAGTACACAAAGTTGGATGATGAATATAGAATATGCACTGCTTTACCCCGTTACAAAATCTACCACAGCGAATAGGGTGTATTTTTTTATTATGATTTGGACAAAGTAAAACTGAGAAAGGAATGTCTCATCAAGTTGAAAATAGAAAAACGGAACTTTTAAACCTTTCGCGTGTGTAGTGAACACTTCAGTGAAAGTGACTCCATGTATCCTGTTGGTTCCAATATGTTCTGCGAGTGCTGGTCTCTTATTACTTCCAAGTTGATTCCTTTTTTTAATTTTGTAAACCAGTAAGCAAACTTTCCTCAAAATAACTGGCAGGAAGAAGCGGTGGCTTTCTGCTGGAGCTGTTTCAATTAAATCCCTTCTTATTCCCCCGGTCGACGCGAAACGTGCGAGACCCCCTCACAATCGAAGTCTTAAATCTAGTAAGTCGGTGTCACTTCAGCTTCCCAAAAAATGAGGTATACACCTGCTATGAATTACTACCATTTGTATGTTTAATTTTGCGGACCCAAATGGCGCATAATGCGTGATGCGCATCTCAGCGAGCGATTCTAAATTTGTAAACAATTCTTAGTAAAAATTGGATAGAACAAATTGATCAATCACCTCAATTTGCCGAGACATATCCGACAATTTAAGTATTTATGACAATTCATGCTTTCCTTTCGAGCAGAAGTCACAATGTGACAAACTTCTTTGCCAGTTATTTGATGCGGGAGGAGCTAAGCGTCAGTTGCTGACGTGCATCAGCAACTGCTGAGTCGCACTTGGATAGAAGCGTCAGTATCGGCAAGCTCAATGTTGCTAAGACAAGCGTGTGGCGCTTTGCAACACAACTGTGCGCGCATGCACAGCTAAGCCAGCATGTCATTTACCCTGGGGAATGCAAAGCATTTGTGTACAGCAGCCTCCGCAGATCCGAAAAGACAAGAACCAGACAGGCTGTGATTAGCCCTGACTCATGCCACGCAAGCTGTAATGTGAAGCTGCAGGCTTGTTTTTGAACATTTTAAAGTATTTTTTATATAAAAAGCAACTTCAAAGCACTGTTATTTAATATAAAGATAGCACACAAACCTGTCATTTACGTTTCTTTAATAAATAAACCGCTTTTAATCGGCATAGACGCAAACTAACATAGCCACTCCAGGTTTTGACATAGGGCGTTGTCTGCTCGCGTCCTACCAGCTCCGTCTTAGGAGGGCGCCCGTGAGGTGGCACCACCAAAACGTCTCATTGCCAATAAACTCTGGAAATTTCAAATACTCAAGTTCACTATTCTTGCCACTGCCACAACGAGTTGGGTGCTTTAACAGTAATGTTCAGCGGTACGCGAAAATTCCAGTGGTAGCTGATAGCCCAGAAAATAGGCAAGGGCAGAAAACTCATGAAGCAGGAAATGAAAGGGCAACAAAAATGCAACCCCTTATGTTAGCATTGAGGTTGCCAACATCGGCTCTGCTGGGCTCAAGTTACTCACCTTTTCAGTTGCAGTCATCTCTTCCCGGAAATGACTGATTATGTATATGTTTGTGACTTCACGAACGCCTTCTGAAACCAACAAAGGCTAAATTATATCTCTATGATGGACAATTGTGTTCAGGCAGGCTTGCAGGAGGTGAAATGCAAGGTGCACTGCAGCTTTGCTTCAGAAATAACAAAAGACAAAAATCATTGTACAAAACCTTGGCCAAGTGTCGCTCGGGACACTTAGAGCATCACTGAAACATCTCGTGGACATCTCGAATTTCAATTTACATCTGAAGTCTGATTTGCTTTACTCTCGGATAAGTTAGCTATAATTTGATATATGATGTTACAAAGCCCCTAAGAACCTATGCAGGGCCATAATTACATAATTACTTTCTGCTCATCTCCAGGTCTGTCCAAGCTGGGTTTGTCCTGTGACGAAGTCAACTACGTGGTCTGCACTCACGGCCATTCGGACCACATCGGGAACCTCAATCTCTTCCAGAGGGCCACCCACATCATAGGAACCAGCGTGTCCAATGGGGACGTCTATCAGCTGGACACATTTGACAAGGTTGGCCATACACTGGGGTTATCCAGTTTGTCTGTGATTGGAGTGCATGTCCCTAGAGTCACTAGATAAACGTTCAGAGTACTGATACCGAGCTCTGCCGAGAAGCTCAGTATCGGATAGTGCCCTTTTGGGGGCCACATGTCGACGGAGTTTCTCATTGGCCTTTAAAGTGTGAACGAGCTGGTTCAGAATTGGCGACGACAGGTTGTTTCATAAAAGACATTTCCCTTGCACCAACATTTCGTGAGGTCCGCAATCAATCACTTTACCTAAGCAGCAGTCATTTTATATCAATCTCTATCATTAAGAGCTTACAGCATCTTGTCCTGTTGGTTTTCGTGCAAAAAGATACTTGCTGAAACATAAAAAGAGCCATGCAAACTAGTGCACAGGTTTGCACTTTCGTTTCATGCAGCACGTGTTTCTTAGGAGGGGACTAGCAACCGCTATTGTTTCAAGAGATGGAAGGAAGGAAGCCAGGTTGCCAAGTTGATTGTAGTTACAGTGCCAAACGATACCAAAATCAGTATTATAACGCGCCATTGAAATAGTGTTGCGATTCGGATTCAGAACGGCTTCAAAGTTCCGATTTCCCCTGAATGACATGACTACGTCGAAAGTGAATGTGATAGTACCCTGGAATTCATTGAGTGAATACTCGACCCTGCTAGGTGGTATACATTGCTGAGTAATGTGGGGATGACTCGGTGCTACATGTCAATTGTTTACATTTATTATTTACACAAGATTGGGATATTTTAAGTCAACCTTTCCAGCTGGACTGGTATGGAATTGCCACTGCCTGGACTTTGCTCGGCGGGAGGTATACTCCATTCTGTGTTGGGCTCCTGGCCAGTGCCATTTTGACTTCATTCAGGAATCTTCCAAAATTTCTGAATGAAGAAAGGATCCTCCTCTCTTCATTCAGGATCGAATTCTTGAGGATCCGAAGCTGTTTGGCTGTCCCACTGCCAGTAGTGGGCTGTTGCCCGGACTGAGTGTGCATTGCACAGCATTGGCACCTTTGCTAATCTAACAGCTGTTTCGAGTTCTATCCTATTTTCAAGACTTGATTTTATTAAATTTGCGTTTCGTGTGCTCCTTTTTTTTCTTTTTTCTTCGAGAATGCCAGATCGCGGCTGCATCTGCTGTCACAGCTGGCATAGCCGATGACACTAGCTCGTTGTCTATGTCAACATAATGGATATGACTTTCAGTTTTCGGTAAATTTATCGAGTGTTCAACGATTCACACCATAGTGTTAATGATAAATTAACAATGTAAAAAATAAGGCTTAAGAAAGACCCACTTCTGCATGTACAACGCTCCAATTTCACTGCCACATTTTCGTTCTGACTTCCTGAAGAGAAAATATGTAGTCGCTAACTTGTAGTTCAGATGTTACACAACCGTTCTGTGCAAGGTCTAAGCTGCATTCTGCTTTTGTTTTGATTGTGACATAAGTTGCATTTCAATACACATTGAGGTAAATAAATATAACAAACATAAAACACACATTTTCACTTTTACAGGAAAGTTTGAATCGTATGGACACTTAATGAAAGTGTATCAACATCTTGAGAAAAATAGTTGTTTAGGAGGGACGGTAATTTGTAACTCAAGCTGGGGAAGCCAAAATGATTTCTAGATGATGGGATGCGCCATGGATGCCAATGGTGTGACGAGTATAATGATACATTATTTTCATGTTTGGTGAGGTCTAAAATAATTGTAATATTTTCTCTTAAAAGGACACCGCAATGAAACATGTTTCTTTTTTAAAGCGACATATGTTAAAAAACTTTTACCACAAAAACTAAATTTTGGACAAGTAATATTTACGCCGCTAGACGCAATTTGGGTGCAGAATGTGGAGGTCGCAGCCCACTAAGCCTTGCCCCGTGCTTCCAAGGTGCTTACATCTTTCATTGGCAGGAGAGATGATTGACATGTGAAAGGTTGGTTGTAAATTTGTATCCCCGTGCCATAATAGTATTTTAACCAACTTTTGTTTTATATTTTGGGACAAATAATTTAGATTGAATCAATATTGTTTTCAAGAATATTCCGAGATTGCCTTTCTGCTTTGGTTTCAAACTACCGTATTTACTCGAGTAATAGCCACACTTTTACGAAGAAAACCTGAGGGTTCGCTTTTCCGCGGAGCACACGAATTGCCAATCACCGGAATCGACAGCATGATTCCAGCAATTTACAGGACAGAGATAACGTCTTCGCGCGAAGACACCATCTGTGAAGGTCGCACTTGTATGGAGAATCGTGTTCTTGGTCTAGTTATTTGCTATGTTATTTATGCACAACGCAGTGATTGGCTCTATATGTGTTCTGCAGGAAAGTAGATGCAAGGGCCTTGTTCATAAAGAGTGCGGCTATTACTCGATTAATAGGGTATAACAAACATGGCTGCCAGTGTTTGCAGAGTGCTGAACGAGCGTAGCTCGTTCATCTCGTCAATTTTTAGGAGTGCGGTTCTTTCTGAGTTTACAGAGGTGTTTAGAGGAAGATCCCATCAACTGACATAGTTTGCAGCAAACAACTGTCGCAAGATGCGCCTTCGGAAGCACTGTGCGGATGCTTGTTTCTGTAGTCGAAGTGGCCTAAGCCTAGCTTTCGACATTCACTATTTTGATCGATCTGGCTTGATTTCTTTCTTTGCATGTGTTCATGCTGAATAAAGATGTTGGTTCCCGTAAAAGTGGCCCCGTTGCTCTGTGAATTGTGCACTCATCGGGATTGCGACCATTGTTTCAATACCAAGAAGATACCTACACAGATAAGAATTTGCGAGCCAATCGGCTGGAGGCAATCGGACGTTTGTCTATATTCCCGTCATTTCGCTTCAAAGGGCAAGTAGTTCTCAAGTTTTGCAGTGCACCTGGCCTGCCAAAGCAAATAATTTTAGGTTTAAGTTTTCATTGTGCATCATGACACATTCTCACCTTGCTCGCGGATGCCATGCGAAAAAAAATAACGAGAACATAAAAGCTCAAATGACAGCATATTTATTTTGTTGCTTTTTTTAATCCTCTTGGTCGCTTTTTACCGCACATCAACAGACAATGATTAATCAAGCACTTGAAATGATCTTCCCGAAGCCGCCCGAACACTGGACAATATTTTCAAACTGTAAAGCGGCACTACAAGTGATATCCACATTTATGAGACATAATCAAAACGATCAAATCCTTATTGACGTTTTACTGAATCTTAAAAAATGCTTCGACCTAGGACACACTATTAAATTCCTATGGATCCCAAGTCACTGTCACATACCTGGGAACAAGGCAGCTGATGCTGGTGCGAAATCAGCCCATTTCTTAACCCCCAACGTCATGGTGCCGTACTGTCAAAACGACATACGGTCTCTTATTAATCACTACGCCTTCACCGAAACAAGAAGATTGTGGCATACTGCGACCTATCATCAGTATGGACCTCTCTACGCTTTGGATCCGGATCTTTCATTCCACACTCCAAGTGATATGCCACGGCGGACAGAGGCAGTGATTCATAGAATGAGACTCGGTGTAGCGTACACACACAAGTTCCTTCATCGGATTGGACAGGTCACAACACCTAAGTGCCCAAGTTGTGACTCCATTGAAACAATTCATCACATCTTATGTGAATGTGTCATCTACGACACAGAAAGGACACAACTCAAAAACACACTAGCATGCCTAGACAACCGACCCTTCTCCGTGACTACAGTGCTAAGTGCTTGGGACAATCCACACAAAGAAGCCAAGGCCACAAAAGCACTAGTTAGATTCCTAAAAGCAACACGCCTGGACTTCTGCTTATAGAAGATGACCTTCATTGTTAGTGAATAGCGCAGTGTTAGTGTTCAAACTTCGTAGTTCTTAATTTTTCTTTTTTTAACTTTCTGTTTAAATTTCTTTTTTCTTTTATTCCTCACACCCCTCTCCCCCAAAACAAAATAGCAAACCGGGACAAAATACCCCAGGTTAACTTCTTTGTCTTCCTTTCTGCCCTTTCTTCTTCCTCAACAGACGATGAGAGACGCTTGTATTGTTCTGTCGCTCGCTTTTATGGTCAAGCCTTGCAATCGTAAATGTTTTTAGACGGGGGCAAAATGGCAAACTGATGAAGGCGAGAATGTATACTGACGAGCAGCATTCATGTCCACATTCTTCGGGCATAGCGAATCACTATGGATTGTGATTAAATAGCAGATGATGCCGGAGGCTGCCGTGCGTCTGCTCGCACAACTAGCAGGCGTTGTTGGACGACAGACTAGACTGACTGAATGTCGCGAAAGGGAGACACTAGGCTTGTTAGCGTGTTTGGCCGAGCAGCCAGGCAAATCCAACATTAATGGGCGGGGCAACTGATTTGTGACTGGGGAAGGATTCTCGACCTCCACCTAAATTGCATCTAACAGCGTAAATAATGCACAAAAGCTATTCTCCTCCCGTAAAAAAGTGCTCTTTAAAAAGCTTTTTTTTTATTGCAGTATTTTTTCAACGCACATTGATATGTGACAGTTAATCTATTGGAGTACATGTTTGGTATGTCAAGTATTTTATGCTTCATAAATAAGAAAAGAGAACTATGATCGCATGGGAACATTTTAAATTATTTTTATTGCTTTCTTTCTGCATTAACCTCAGCCTGTCATAGTTACTTTTTGTTGTTGTCCCCCAGACCAGATGGCAGTAACAAAAAATTGAATGAAAAGGGGAATTATATATTAATTTTTTAATAGTTACTGGAAGCAATTGACTATACTTGTTCATTATTCCTACTACTTTACAAAGTTTTTTATGTAAGAAACATGAAGATTCCACAACATGCGTTCAGAGAACACAACATCGAGGGTCTTGACGCTGCATACACACTCTACTATAGTACCCTATATTTGTCCGAAAATACTTCCTTTTGATGTTCTTATAACCAAAAAATGGATTTCTTTGGAAGTGATTATGTCTTCTCTACAATCAGAAAAAAATATGCTGGTATCGTCTGCATACATAATCAATTTGGCAGAAGTTTCAATGTCTGTAATATCATTGACATAAATAATAAACAACAGGGTACCTAATATGCTTACTTAGGAACCCCAGAGTAAACGTGCTGCACCGTGGATGACGAGTTTCCAACCTGAACATATTGATGGCAATGTTGTAAATAGGACGCAAGAAGTGATAATGGAATTAGAAGTCTGCATGGGCCGATATTTAGAAGCCCGGCCCAGCCCGGCCCGCTGTCTCTTGGGTCCGGACCCGCCAGCGGCCCGCTATCTATTTGTGACAGCCGGCCCGGCCCGACGCTAATTTTCTTGGGCCCGCTGAGGCCCCCTTTATATTGGCCCAGTATGAATGGCCTACAAATTGCACGGCTTGGCAGCTCGCTTGTCACTGCTACAGATATGTTGATTACAGAACCGACAGTCAATGCTGTAAGCATCTTTTTTTTTTGCTGCTATTAATGCTCCGACGTCATTTGCTGCGACCAAACCCGCGGGGGAAGGACGGAAAAACAAAAATGACCAGCAGCAGTAAACAAAATTATGTCGCAAAGTTGTAAAAGAATGGAAATGTCGCAATCAGTTTGGACAAAAGACAACCAAAGTTCTAAATTGGCCACTCCCAATGCGTACAACTGAAAAAAAAAAGTCCCCGTCTTTTGCGGTGGTTTGTGAGAAATTGTTTAGGAAAAGCACCCCTCAGGGGAATCTCTTCACCCATATTGTGGATGCATGCACTCGTACGTGCAGATGGTTTACGACGGCGAGGGTGTGCATTCTGTAGGCGCGTATGTGTGCGTGTCGATAGGGAGAAGTCATGGTACAATGGCGGCGCCTCCGGTGACGAAAAGGAACGCCACCACTAGTGCTTTGGAAGAGTATTTGCTGCACACACCGAACCGTACAAAATATAGTATACACGCACATACACATGCTTTCAACATTTGGGTCTCCCCCACTGTGGTCCCTCTCCCAACTCCCCCGAACACGCTTCCAAAAAACATTCCTGCTAAAAAAAAAAAGTAATGGCGGCTTGGTTTGCTTTGGTCCGCCTTGTAGAGTTGAATGCAAGGCCCGTACCCGGCCCAGACTCTTCCTGAATGTTACCATGAAGCCCGGCCCGCGGCCGTGGTCGGCCCGCGGTTGCGGGCAGCCGCTGGGGAGCTCGGAAGAGCTCGGCCGGCCCGCGGACTGGCTTGTGCCCGTGCGGATTTCTAAATGGAATACCATGTATCCCTATGTTCTCAACATAGACTACCCTCTCCCTCGAAATAGACACTCCGAGGGAGAGAATAAGAGTTGTGCTCTAGTCCATAAGAAGTTTTTTCTTTCTGACCCGACCTAAATGAATACGCGCGCACATGAGCGAGATTTCTCTATGTAACTTAACTGCAGCCTTTTGATGGATGCTGTCTGCCTTCCTTAAAGGACAATGAAGACAATTGGATATGTTGCAGTGCAAGGTAGTGTAGTTCCGAAAGATTGCTTTGTAATTTATGATACGAAAACAAACATGTAAAAATTAACAGACTGGAATGTGATACCCCAGCATGTGTAAATAAAGCACAAATTCCGATGTTTGGATGCCGAAAGATTTTTTAAATTTTGAATCCGAAAGCCTGCCGAGGCTTGGTCATGCCTCGGGAGCCCACCTAAGGGGCTAAGAGAAACTGACTTTTTACTTTGTGATGCCGTAACCGCCGATAGGCACGGCCAGCGCTATCTTGGAGCTCAACATGAAACAGAACTCGCAGAAATAAATTCAACAGATGAAAAAAAAAAAGAGAGAGGTGAACGAGGGTTGGGCTATTGCAAAAACCCGAGTCTCTTTCTTTTTCTTTTTGTCTTTCTTCCAAACCTGGTTTAAGGCACTATGGTCGTGCCCGAGCAGGCCAGGTGGTGTTGGCTCGGGTGAGGAGCACAGTGCAGGGAGTCGAGGAAAAAGAGTGCGGTTTGGATCAGGCAGCACAAAGCGCCGTGTAGGGAGGCTGTCTCTGAACATGGCAACTGGGAAGGCAAACATGACAGACGGAAAATCAGTTTTCAGGACGGGCTCTCGTGATGTGTTACAGCTGAAAAAGTTTATTGCCTGGGAGCACTTCAGCGAGGTACTGGTGTGCCTACATAGTAGTTGAAAAATTGGTTACCACTTTAAAAATGTGCCAGACATCAGAGTCCATCCATTTGACTGGATACTTCAGCCAGCCGTGCAGAAGTTAAGGTGATCTGATAGCGAAATGCTAATACACTTTCACACTGGAGTGTTCAATAATGTTATGGGGGCTTCGTTCAAGACACGACTGGGAGTTATCATGATAGCCAAGCTGCGCAACGCTTTGTAGCGCGTAATCATCTTTCAGCATAAGCCTTTTTCAGTGCTGTCATAAATGGCACTGTGTGAATGGGCCTTCAGAGATTGCACTCATATCTTTTGTGATTTACTGCAGTCACGGAAAGTATGATTGTTATATAGGGGGATCGGTGGCCGAGTATGTTGGCACACTGCAGCTCTCAGCGCGTGGAGTGAAAGCTTGCGCTGAAGAACTTAGGAATCAATCCCCATGCTTGCCCGTTTCAATCTGGATGAGCATCGTACCAGCGTGAGGTCGTGTATCACTACTGCGTGATGCACGTTAGGGATCCTAGGCTTGCAGTGCTAGTGCACTGGCTAAATTTCTCATCTACAGCCGAGACACCAGATGCCCATTGAGGCTGACTAACTTCTGGCTGCAGAAGCACACGTATGACACAATTATTATTTGATTGGTATACAATAAGAGTGTGTCGCAGGCATTACCAGCAGCATACAAAAGCAGCCACCATAAAGTTTCTTTTGCCTTTGCAATTTGGCCACTTACAAAGGCCACATAGCGACGCTCAAAACAGAACAAACTCGACTTTTTTTTCTCCTTTTAGGACGAGCCCTACCGCATTGCCACAGACGTCCAAATAATTCCTACACCAGGACACACCCTGTCCGACGTGAGCGTCATCGTGAAGACTGCCAAGCTCGGGACTGTTGCCATAACAGGTGATGAATCCCACATTTACCTCGTTTGCAACGCTGTCATTCATAAACTGCAATTCTGCACTTTTGATACACCAACAACATTTTCATAGAGTTATGCCACTTCTTACCAAAAAGGTTGCCCCACTGCATTCACTGGCTGTGGCAAAGCACGCAGTATACTTAGGTGCACAAGAATTTTCTACGCTAGCATCAAATTAGTAGTTTGTTTAAGTGGCTACACTATGCGGAGTGCAAGTTCGTCAGCTTCTTTTGCAAGGGTTGTGGTGACGTCGGAACGCCGAGCCCTAATTGACTCTGATTGAAGGATAGTGGGTAGACCTCAAGGCAAGCTGCCTTGAGGTCTACCCACTGTTTTAGAGCGCAGCTCTTAGGGGCCCGTTTCCAGCCTGAGCGGCGTCGGCGTCGGCGTAACCGCGCCCCTCCCTCTCCTCCTCCTCCCTCTCCTTCTCCCCCTCTTCCTCCCCTCCTCCTCCTCCCCTTCTCCTCCTCCCCTCCTCCTCCCCCCCTCTTCCTCCTCCCCCTCCTCCTCCTCCCCTCATTGTCCGGCTTGAGCGGCAAGGAGGAAAGCAGTACGAAGGTGGAGGAGGGGGGGAGGAGAGACGAGGAGGCGGAGGCGAGGGGAGGGGAGGAGCTTGAAGGACGAGGAGGTGGTAAAGGAGAGGGAGGGGGAGCAGGAGGGGAGGAGGACTAGCAGGCATGATCACGAGGGAGGAGGATGAATATACCCTCCACTCCTCCTCCTCAAGAGCTGCGCTCCAATTCGGCGTTACAGGAAGTTGTAAACGGCTTTCACTTTTTTCATTCAGAACCCAGCATTCTGACGTCACCACATCCCCTGCAAAGGAAGCGGACAAACTTATGCTCCGCATAGCTTTGAATAGAAGGGAACTCTTCAACATGTGCCTTCGAACTCACTGCAGATATAATTTACATTCCTACAGGCCAGAGTGACACACATCTGTAGACTGTGATCTGGCTGAAATTACATACATTCGAAGACACCTGTGTGGGCCCTCCCATCTAGCCAAAGCTGCACTTCTCAGTTATCCAGCCAGGCTATACGGAAACTATAGTTTGTCGTTCCGCACAATGTTGGCATGGGCCCTTCTCCCTTCCTCTGGTATAGTTGGGCTGGTGCAGATAAACACTGCTAACAAAAGAGGCTTTCAGAATCAGGTTGAAACCAGAAAGGATACCATATTTTCCAAACTATAGTCTGAAGACTGTACACATTGAAATGTTGGTATATTCTATGCTCTGCAGACTGTTTAAAAGCATAAACTATACAAAATATATATATTTTTTTAATATTTTGATTTTGGTGTTGCTACCGCTTAGTGCGGTGTTAGAGATCACACTCTCTGGCTGTTTCACATTTGGCGTTAGTCAGAGACTGTCATTTCTTACTTTCGCCCTCGATGCCCCGATGGGTGACTCGCAAGCTAGTTGCACATCACCCATGGGATGACTGTGCATTTATCCAACCTAGTACATACCGTAAAATACTGGGCAAGCGCCCGCTCAAGCTTTGGAGATAATCACAAAAGAATGGGGATGGGCTCTTGTCCGATCACCAATTTTGCATATAAATGTACTGTTCCTATTTTCTCCAATCTTACAAATTTGGTAATGGGCGCTTAATGTGGAATGGGCAGATGCACAGTATTCTATGGTAATATGAATTTGCATTCATATTATGTATTTTGTTAGTCAGTATGCAGCCCTGTTTGTCTGGGAACTAACAACTTACTTACAGGCATGGATGAAGTCAACACCTAGATAACAAATCACCCTTTTTTTTTTATTATTTCGTATACACTGCAGGCATTCCTTTTCCTTGCAGATTGCATACTGTTTGACATGCACATGTAGTATGTATGTACAAAGGTGGTCCAGTTGCGCCATTTGCACCATATTCATAAATTCCCGCTTGCCTGTGCCTTTCTGCTCCCAAAGGGAAAACTTGCACCAAACTGCGCCAAAGTGAACAAATGCGGACAAATTGGTTTTTGGAGGAGTTTTCGTTTTTGTCTGGCAACTATAGGGATCCAGTGGGGTTTGGCCATCACAATTCAATCCAGGCTTCTGCCTCCATGGCATTTGATGCCGAGCCATAAAAAGTTTAAACAAGTTTAAACTATACTTGCGACACAGAAAGTCAGCGTTTTGCAGTGTTGCAGAGGCTGGTCGGCAACATGCTCGAAGACACATTTTCTGCTCATTCGCCGTCATTCGCCAAATAAGTTCCTTAAAACCATGCGCGAACGGTGATAGTTGCCTTCGAGAACATGAGGAAATTTTTACGAAAGAGCAGCACCGTAGGAAAAAGGCACAACTCGTCAAATGTAAGTCTCGCTGGTCTCGCAGCATGATCAAAGCTTCCTTGGCATGCCGAAGTGCTGCCTCTTTGTGCCTTCGCACGCATGCATACCGATCAAGAATCGACGCCGTGGGAAAGTTTTGAAGGTGTGTCGTGCGTAGATGTCTTTGCTGCATACATATTGGCCACAATGTTCTCGATCGTCCAGCTGTTCCGGCGAGTTGCTAACAGTTTCGTGCTACTCAAAGATAAGTCTGCATCACCAGGTAATGCAGTTTATAGAACACAGCGTGGGCCCAAGCATAATGTCCACTAACAGGCATACTATAATGTTTTTGGGTCAGTGAGGAGTCAGACTCGGAATAAATTTCTATTTATGTGCTCCATTTTATAACAAGCGTGTAGTGTTGTGTTTATTGGAACTGCTGAATGTCTCAAATAACATACTTTGTTTTCTTTATTAAAATAATTGAATACTTACTGCGAACTGCTTCATTGTAGCCTCATGCGGTTACTCGAGAATTCCTCCACCTCGGTCAGGGCTTATTCGTGCCTCTTGCGTATATCCCACAAAAAAGCCTCCCTTGAACTCTTATCATTTCCTTTCTACTAAACTGATTGCTAGAAGTGTCTAGGAAACAAAACACGCGACGCCATCGCCGTGCCTCCGCCACCTCACCTCCCCCCCCCCCCAGTTTCCGTCGCCACTGCATCAAGCTCGTTTCTGGATCATGAATGCCGCAATTTACAAGTGCAGTCATTAGAGTAAAGTAAAACGCTGCTTCAGAGGCACATACGTTTTCACGCACATTGCACTCACAAAACACATCCACATGGCGTCAATTCTTGATGGGTATCCAAGCGTGCGAAGGCACAGAGACGCAGCTCTTCGGCGTACCAAGGAAGCTTTGATCACGCCGCAAGACCGGCGAGACTTGTGTTTCACAAGTTGCGCCTTTTTTCTGCAGTGCTGCGCTTTGGGAAAAATTTCTACAGGTCCTCAAAGACAGCTCGATGATACGATCACAGTTCATCCAAATTTCGGGATGATATGAATTTTTAAAAATCCCCAGCCAAAGTCCCTTAAAGGGGCCCTGCAATGACTTTTTGACTGGTTTTTAATTTGCACTGAACCTGAGCGTACTGATCGTAGTAACTTAATCCAACTTTTCTTTTCTCAAATTTCGCTTTATTTTAAAAGTTATAGGCAAATTAGAATTACAAAAACAAGCAAAAAATAACCTCCTTCATGACGTCGTAGGTCCTGCCTTGAGTGGCCTTGAACTAGAGGAAGAGTAGTGAGCTCATCGAGCGCATACGGCTGCCGCACTCCGTGTCGACGGCTCGAGAGGGCGCCACTAAAGCACGTGTTGGATAGGCTGTATGAAGTGGGCGGCCGGGGCAGCTCGTATTGCATTTGCAGCGCGACTAAACACTAATTCGGCTTAACATTTCATTGGCCACAAACGACAGCAAGCACGGGGTAAAGATCAGTTCAGAACAGGAGCCACTTCGCGCTGACGCACCGCCAAATGGCCCAATCGCCAACAGGGCCCGCGCCGAAGGCCTTCGGAACGCTCGGAACCGGTCGGATTCTTGAGCCGGTATACGACCACAGCGCCGCCGCGTACATCCGGGACCTTTCTACTCTCCTCGTTTGTCGTAGCCTCATCCCACTAGCCTTTTCTAGTATGCGCCGTTTTTTTCCGCCGCTTGGTGGCGGGTATGTCGACAGGCCATTTCTCGTTTCCGTACTTTCTAAACTGCATTTGTTTCTTTTCTGATCTAAAATAGTGAACAAAAACTACTTTCATACATAATCGAAGCGGTTCGCGACACTTATATTTTGTGTCTCGACTAAAAAAAAGCTCTTAGCGCCTTTGACCAGTGACAAGCCCAGGACCAAAGACGTCACATTTTGCGCGCTTTCGGTACTGCGGGTCGCCCTCGTCGGTGGAGGAGGTTTCCGCATCGTCCGGTTAAAATATGACACACTGATATTTAGTTACTCTCTCCGTGCCCGCTGGCTTGCCCCAACCCCAAGAAACGTGGAAACCGCAAAAAAGGTAGACGCTTAAATATGATTGCAGGGCCCCTTTAAGCAGTGATGTGATTGCTGTGCCAATTGCGCCAAACTGCGCCAAGGGGCTAGCCCTGCTACATCCTGCTACATTTCGCTGAAATATGGCTAATTTGTGCCAAGCCTGCGCCAAAGGACCAATTTTGGTCGCTTTTCAAAAACGAAACTAAACTAAGAACCGTAATTGAGCATACGTGAGCTAGGTGGCTCAAGACGCCGCCCGACACAAAGTACCCTGTATCAATCGTCTATCCGGTCTTCCGTGATTTTTCCCGTCGTCTTGCGTTTCGCGCTCCCGTCGTCTAAAAAATCTCGTCTCGCGTCTTTTTTTTTTTTTTTTTTAATTTTTTAGCGATAGACGTGGGCGTGTGCGGACGCTCCGACGTTAGTGTGCCGTGTGCCAGCCATGCCGTCATGCTGTGAAACAAAACCACGTTTTTGCGCGGCGAGAGTTACTTTGCGAGCTGAAGCGCTCGCGCGAACACAGTCGCCGTGGTCGCGCGACGTCGTGTGTTGCCGTCCCCACGTCGCTGCAGATATGGCGCTTTCTAAACTGAAACACGTCGACATTCCTGCTCTTGTTTAAATCATACGGTGCTA